CTGTGTGACTCCCAGATATGCTATATTGGGGAATGTTAGGAAATGGTCATTGCCTAACTAGTTGGCCAGGTAATATATAACATTATATGTTTAGGAAAGGTCATTGCCTAACTAGTTGGCCAGGTAATATATAACATTATATGTTTGTATTGTGTAAATGTATTATGTTGCTTTAAGAACATTGCTGAGTCATTCTGCATGCTGATTGGATGAGCTCTGTAGCCAATGTATTTAAGGAGAGCTAAATTGTGGTTAGTGTGGACATTACACCATATTTTTACCTGCTGCTATGCTGTAACTATTATTGATCTCTCTAAATGATCATTGTTTGATCATGGTTTATTTATTACTGTTTCCTGATATTTATTGAACTGTTTTTATATTGTTGTTCCTGAATGTTCCTTGTATTTTTCTACAAACTGGTGAGAAGATTTTATATCCCTGGATTGATCTTGTATTGCACTTTATATGGCTAAGACTTGGATTGTTAAAGGACTATGAATTCGCTTTACCCTTAAAGTAAAATACTATAAAACCAGTTTATCTGCATGTTATTCACAATTACTCTCAATACCGTTTCTGTGCGTAAAAACTTCTGATGGTACTGTGCTTTATAAACCATGACTCTGGTGGTGACACAACAATATCCTTAACACGGAAGATTACCGCAGTCTAATTCCCTGGATGTTTGGTGAACTCTGAATCTGCATTTTCAGTGTATGTGAAGAGCACCTTATTGGGAAAAGCAACACTAGTGGAAGAAATAACATTCCTTTGTTTAGCTACATCACCATATCATATATGTTTGGCATTCATATTTTTTATGATAGTAGTAATTTGGGATTTTTGACTGTTGATTCTTTGTAACTCTTGTTGTAGTCTTCACCGCCAATCAAGCTAATATCAAGAACCACATTATTATTAAAAGAGAGGAAGGATTGTTAGAAGACAATGAGATTTAAAGAGGAGAAAGCATAATTATGAAAGGAGGCGTGAAAGGTTTTATTTTATTGGCTTTATAGTAGCCTGGATAAATTCCACTTTAAATGCAGACACTGGAGCAAGTGCACATTTGTATGGCTTGCAGTTCCTCTAGCTGACCTCTTAAGGCATATATATGCACTGATAAAGAAGGAAAACTCTTCACAACTTTTATGTGTACATCTATGCACGCACACACAACCAATGAAATTCACTGAGTGAATTTTCTTGTTTTTCCTTTTATGCTCCCACAATTCCAGCTGTTGCTTATAAATCGCCTCTTCTATCTGACTTATCTCTTTGATTGTTTTAGTATTTATTTCTATTATATGCTACTGACTTATATCTATGCAGTACTCTACTGATGTACACCAATTTGAATAAATCAGATTTTCTTTTAATTCACATCTGAAGCTTCTAACTGTGCTATTGGTTATTAATATATGTTGTGCATGAGTACATATTTGACTACTCATATAGTATAAAAACTACATCCTCTTTCATTAATTAGCTTTTAAAATTACTCCTGCAGTGCCAAACAATCCTCTTTCTGCTTCATGCACCACCATTAATAATCATTCCTAAATTTCTGACTGCTCTACATAATGATGTATCTAATTCCATCCTAAATAATTGAAATACCATAGATTGCATTCCATCCAGAAAAACAAGAAATGCATATTGTCCACTGGAAGAAGCAGTAATCAGCTTTTACAAAAGAATGACTTTAAAGCTTTCTGTATACTTTATTTTCTACCACATGTAACGTACATAAAGTAGAGATTATTTAAAATATTTTACCATTTTTCATAATAGTCATTATCCCATACTTTTCAGAAATTATTTTTATTTACTTATTTACACTACACACTCAAGAGCCAGAGGACTCTGGGCAGAATATAGCATTATGTCTATGTCCATATTATCTTTATATCATTGATCATCTTCATAAAATCTAAGAATTAAATACACAAAATCAAAGTTCCACTTAGAATTGCATGGAGTAAAAGGTTTGGTGAAACAATATAGAATATATTATGAACTATATCTTTTATTTCTCATAAAAATCATTTGCCAAACCTACAAAGGGATTCATTCATGTTTGTTTCACCTTTTGTTCCTGTACTGATTTGCTATTATAGTGCCTTTTCCTTGTGTTTTAAACAATATGTTCGTAACAGATTGTTAGATTCATGAGAGATTGCTAGAAGCTGATTTTTACCGCAGGAATATTGTAGAATCTATAATTACAACTAAAATAATGATATAAACCATAAAAGTATTTCTAAATTTCTTTACAATACTGAAAATGGATGCCCTTTCTCACAAAACAACCTCTCATATACACTATCACAATGTGCCCGTTCTATAACCATCCATCCATCCATTATCCATCTATTTCCCTACTCACCCCTCTGGGTGGTATGTGTCTTCCTCAGTCTCTGGTCCTCTACCAGAGGCCTGGGAAATTGAGGATTCTGTGCAGGATCTTAGCTGTTCCTTAGTTTGCTTGGATGTTGTTCCCAGGATGTGTTACAACCACTTTCCCAGCTTAGGAGTCTCAAGCCTGAGTGCTCCTATCATGACACTTTGGCATTTACTTTCCACATCCTCTCTAGTTCCTCCTTCAGGCCCTGATACTTCTCTACCTTCTCATACTCCTTCCTGATGTTGCCGTCACTTGGCACTGTACATTACCTCTATCTTTTATTTCTTGTTTATTACTGTGATATCTAATTGTTTGACTGGCAGCTGCCTGTCTGTCTGGATCTGGAACACATGTGGAATTTTAGGCCTATTATTCTCTATGAATGTCTGTGGAATCTATCATCCAGACTTAGGAGGGTCTAACATTATACTGCAGATGTTCCTGTACATAATGCCAGTTACTTGGTTATGCTTCACTGAATGCTGTTCCTTCCTGTACCTTACACCCTGTCTGTTGAATTATCTCTAAGGCCTCTTTGCACAGTTTGCACCTTGGATCCTGTCAGGTAAAGCCCTGCTTCTATGGATCTGATGCCTAGTGCCTGTTCTTGTGTTGCTATGATCAATGCCTCAGTGCTATCTTTTAATTCAGACATTCCATCCACATTCTCAATGGCTGCCATTTTCAGCTATCTCTAGGTCATATGTCCCAATATAAGACATATATTGTCTTGTTATGGAACTACCTCTGCTTGATCTTTCTCCTATGTCTTGGGTATTGTCTCAGCAGTTCATCTTTGGGTGCCAACTTACTTATATATTCTTGGATTCTGTAAGTTTTGTATAGACAGGATTTTTACCATTCACCTGAACCTGCCTGCCCATTTTTTAGCTAGTTACAGTGTCTGGGTGATGGACTTGGGGTGGAAACCTCTTTACGTTGTATGTATCCAGTTCAAAAGTCTTAACTGCTGAAGTCATAAGCTATAGCTTAATTTTTACATTGAGATTTGAAAAAAAAATTAATCTAATATATGGCATTACTGAACTAAATAATTAATTATATCATTTATTATATATATATATATATATATATAAATTTTATCAGTTTTTTAAAAAAATAAAATATTTTAATTAAACTTTAAGAAAGTTCTAGATATAAGGTAGGTAACTACAAATTATGAATGTATTACAAGTTGTTCTTGTCCCTTTGGATAGGCCTTTATACACTAATTCTCTCACTATCCATTCCTGAGGTATACTTTTAATTTCATATATAGTAGCAAAAACACTGCATGCATATTAAAGAAACTGTACAGTATCATTTACTCACAAAAGATTTGGAGACATAGCTCCAATTGCATCCTCTGCCTGTGTCCCTTAATCAGTTATTTGGTTTTAAGGCATAGGAGAGGAGAAAGATTGCTGGCAGTGGGGACTTTGTGAAAGTGTGAATTTGGTTTAAATTATTTTGTAAAGCTCAGCTTTGGTCAATGATATCTTATATTTCTATTCAATAGTATAACATATAAAATTTCCAGTAGAGTTACATAATCCACAATAGCAATAGCACTTAGAGTTATATACCACTCCACAGTGCTTTACAGCACTCTTTGAGTGGTTTACAATGTCAGCATATTACCTCTCAACAATCTGGTTTCTCATTTTACCAACCTCAGAAAAAATGGAAGGCTGAGTCAAACTTGAGTCTCATCAGGATTGAACTCTAGCCTGTGGGCAGTTAGTCCTCAGTACTACATTCTAACCACTATGCTACCAAATTACCAATTAGTGATAGTTTGTCAAAGGTGATGGATTTATAATTATGATGAACTTCAAAACAAACCAACCAAAAAACTCTAATAAAATCCATGGGAAAAAATAAAGTAACTAAATAGTTACTTAAAGGAATGTCTCATCCCACTGGGATTGGCCTGTACCAGCAGGGAAGCCATGTTGTGGGCCCTATCTGCCAGGCTATCCCAGCTGTCAGGGTCCAAGAGAAGGGCCTTCTCTGTCATGCGCTTGCTTTTTGGAACATCTTATCCCCAGAGTGAGGTCTGCTCCAACCCTCCTGACCTTCCGCAAGAGCTTAAAGACCTACCTCTGCTAGCTGGCTTGGGGCTCCAAAGGAGGGACTTCATGTTGAGAGTGGTTAATAGATTAACATTAGATTCCACCTCTGCCTCTGCTCATTCTTCTTCCTTCCTCCCCAATTTTAGCTATTATATTTCTTATTTTTATACTTCTGTAGTATTTTATTTATATCGTTTTATTTTTTTTAATATTGTAAGCCACCCAGTTTCCTTGTTGTAAGATGGGTGGCCAATAAATTGGATAACAAACAAACAGATAAGATAAGATAAGATAAGATAAGATAAGATAAGATAAGATAAGATAAGATAAGATAAGAGCTCAGGATCACGTATTGGAATCTGAGTGATAAGTAAACTAATGTGAATACATATAGACATAAACATTTTCAATCAGTAATTCACTTTAGACCTAATATTCCCAATGGATAGTTGTGTAATTTTAGATGCATATTCTGTTAGATATACAAAGATCTGGGGTCTTTGCCTGAGACTTACTTTCATCTCCAGTTTCAAATTCAAACTTTTGGCTATAGCCACTGTATCCTGTTGCAGTCCTGAGTCTGATATGAAATATGTACTTGGTGGCTGGTTTGAGACCTGTGACAATGACACTTGGAGCCTTTGACCTTGTGGAAGAATAGCTGAGCTGCTCATTCTCCTGAGGGACAGAAGAAGAAAAAATAGGATGTGACATACTAGCAACCTTTCAAAACTAAATTTTGTTATTAATGTCAAATTGCATTCATTCAAGGACTAAAACCACTATGGGTTGTGGCACAGACTAGGCTTAGCTATATATTAAGAAATGTTTGTTTTTCTTATACAGCAAGAGTTGACTAATTGTGAACTCAAGAGTTAGTAATTAGACAACATAATATTAAATTAGTACAAGACTACATTTATAGAAAATGGCAATTATACACTTTAAATCATGGATACATTTGGATTGCAAATAACTACCAAAAACATAATGTATAAATATGGGAGTATTCCAATGTCTGCTACTCACTTCTACCCGCAGGTAGTGCCAAAATGCCGGCGCTATCCGTGGGTAGGCCTGTGGGTAAAAGAAAGGAAAATTAACTCTGTATTTTTGCTTGTAACCCTGAAATGGGGTTATTATCTTCTTAGATTGGAAATGGGCTTTTATGCATACAATTATCTTACAGATTTGTATTTTGTTACTGAAGTAGTACTGGAAATCCACTCTCTAGGGAAAACTAAAAGCATGTGTATTTTTCGTAGGTTATAATGGATTTCCTTCAAAAACTGTATAGTAAATTTTTTTGAGTGAAATTATTTTTAGACATAGTCCAACCATTACAACTGCTGTAAGATTGATAGGAGTATTAGCAGTTTAGTGATTCTTTGAGAATTTCTTTGATTCCTCTTTTGTTCTGCTCCAAAGCCTCAATATACCACATGTGATCATGTTCCAAAAGATTTTTAAAAAATGTTTCTATACATATCATTTGGTAACAAGTGAAACTAGATCATTTTTTGAGTTTGTAAGGCTCTGAGGGATAAGGGATAGGACAAAACAATTTACATGCTTAATAATAATAGCAATATTTTTTCAGTTCACTACATAAATATTTTCAACCTTACCTTAACTTCAATCTAACAACTAAATCACAATTCATTTTAGAAAAGAATTATTATATAATCAATAACCTACGTGGTATTATTTACATTTTAGTTTTCAGAATTCTCAGTGCAACCTATGGAATTCTGGGAGACAAATAATTCTGGGAGTAAAAAGTATCCATTTGGGATACTTAATCTGTGATAAAGCAAAAATATAGTATATTAATTATTAAAAGACATTTTATGTCTAATGTTTTAAATTAGATCCAGTAATCTAATCTAAACATTTCAGTATTCAGAAGTCTCAGTGTAGCCTAAGGAATTCTGGGAGCCATAGGCTGTGATGAAGCATAAATATAGTGTATTAATAAGGAAAAGGCATTTTATGACTGATGTTTTATATTAGATTCAATAATGAATTATAAAAAACAACCCCTAGAAAAAAGGACTCTTTCTCTCACCAAGGGATTCTGTTGTATTAACACTGCAGGTTTGAAACATGAAGCCCTGTAAATAAAATTGGCCTAACTGTCTCTAATCTTATGCAACTAAACTGAAGATATTTATGGCATGGCAAAGTTTTACATGCTGCTCCAGAGAAACAGTGCATCATTGCTATCTTAGATAGTATGTAGCAATTGCTATATGATTAAGTTGTTGTGTTCAGGGAAAATGAAGCACTGGGGAAAATATTAAATGATCTGTCATGTTCATAATTCAAAAGAGGATTAGACAGTTAAAAAACTGTCCTATAAGGTGTCTTTATTTTGTTATTTATTTTTAATGAAGTCTCCAGCATATTATTACATTTTGCAATAGCAATCCATTGGTAAACTGAACAAGGAAAATATGAAATATTTATGCATATATAAAGAGAGTATACAAACTAGAACAAAAAGCAATTAAATTTTGCCTCCTCAATAAGTGTTACAGTATCACTGAAAAGAAAAGAATGTGGCTCCAATACTACTGATCCTTCAAAGCCCAACATAATATCTATTTCCCACTTTGAAAAGCAGTAGGAATAAAAATATTAGCTGACATCCTAAGAAAGTTTTATTTTGTTGGCAGATACCAGGTTCAACATTTAACCTTAAAAGTCAAAGAAAATAATTAAGCTCTCTAGTAGAGAGTACAATTATCCAGACTGATTGTATAATTGCAGACTCAATCCGGGACAGATGACAAGAGTTAACCCATTCCTGACTGCTGGCCCCACGCTCCAGTAAAACGTCTTCATTTTATTGCTTTCATTTTATTTATTAAAATAGGTCTATTAAGTCTTAAATACCCCGAAAGAGTTAAGGTCAAATAAAGAAACAACAAAAGGGAAATAAACAAAAAGAAAATGACATAATATTTCACTTCAACTGATTACCATATTATCACAATATGCTCAATATACCCTGGGGGAATCCCATCAGATCATAAGAAGTAAACTATGGCCTTTCTGTGTAAAAAAGTGAAAAGAGATTAATTTTTATTTTACTTGAGTATAGATTTGTCTTGCTAGAATAGGACTATCTAAGAACTAAAATTATATTGGTAGAGCATATAGATAATATATCCCTTCCATTTGTTTTGTAATAAAATAATAAAAATATTTTATCAGTTTGATTGTGATAGAATCATTCTTCCTCAATTGAGATCTGGGACAGGATCAAAGCAAACCTATGAATACTCTAGGTAACTAAATCTCTTAGTTCAATAATATCATTTGATGAGAAGCATGTTCGAGATTTTAGAACACCGAAAGGAATTGTCTTATAATACTGATTGTAATCCACAAAATGGAGCATGCCTGTTTGATATACTTCTGTTTAACATTATGAGGATGGGAATGAAAAAAATAATAATATTGTAATAGAGGTAACTGAAAAAGGGTCTTGATTTATGAAAGAATAGTACAATTGACAATTTCTATTCATTATAAGTTTTGGAAAAAATCAAAGTAAAAGCATAGCAGTTGCAACTACTACAATTGGGACTGGAATTTTGGTAGTAAATTGTGATGGTCATTAAGTCAAAGAACCCACTGAACTGGACCTGATTTTATGACCATTTTAACAGTTCACACCATCATAAGCAATGGTGGGTTCTAACCGGCTTTACTACCGGTTCTCCTTGTGCATGCGCTTCGCGCGCGATCACCTCTTCGGTCATACGCTTTGTGCGCTATCCACTCTGCTGCACCTCTCAGCTAATGAAGAAATAAAAGGTAGGGCAGGCGGGCGGGCGGGCCCAGCTCCCGAAGACAGAGAACCGGTTCGGTGATGTAATATCGTCACTGCTGCCGGTTCTTCCGAACCGGGCCGAACAGGGAGGAACCCACCAATGATCATAAGTCCAAATCATTCTCCTAAATGGTTTCTTTTGCTGAAAACTGACAAAAAATAAAAAAATAGGAAAGTGGCAAAAATTGTTTCAAACCACAGTCATTAACTTTGAGCCAGTTGCCAATGCCTGAAATGTGTCATATGACTGTGGAGTGAGGATGTGGCACAACATTTTATTATGGCCAGAAGTTCTTTATGGGCTCTAAACAGGGGTGGGTTCTAAAATTTTTTACTACCAGTTCTGTGGGCATGGCTTATTTTGTGGGCGTGGCTTGATGGTAATGTGACAGTTCTTTAGGATTTAGCAGACGTACTGGTCTACCAGGCTTTTAACTGCTTGTGGAGCTGTACTGGTCTACCCATTTATTTTTGCAGGCACTGGTCTACCCATTTATTTTTGCAGGCACTGGTCTACCCATTTATTTTTGCAGGCACCGGTCTACTCATGTATTTTTGCAGGCACTGGTCCACCAAACTGTCTTTTACCACTGATCAGCTGTAGAGCGGCTCCTTTGAAGCCCCGCGACAAGAGTTTCAACAGTTTTTTTCCTTATAGCCGATCAGCTGGCACTCAGGAGGCAGAAATAGATTGGGGGGGGGGCAAATAAAAGGTAAGAATAATGCGGGGGGCTGGGGGGGCCAGAACCAATTTGGTGACATCATATCATCACCACTACTGGCTCGGCGGAACCGGGAGGAACCGGGAGGAACCCACCACTGGCTCTTAAGCATTCTTTCCAAGGTCATTGTAACGCTAAACAGTCATTATGTGACCAGTCATATGTTCAGGACTATCTATAGTTAGAAAGCTAAATGATATGATGGAGCACACAGATAACTTTTTTTCCTTGTATGGCAAATACATATGAAAGAGAATAAAATAGTGTAATTCCAACATAATATTCCCGTGTGATTCACCTATACTATATTTCAGGATTTAAACTATGTATTTTTTCTTTGATAATCCAATTCTTTTCGATACAGGCTAGCTGGAACTTTACATACTTAAATAATAGTGTATTCTTGCAGCTCCTTAAACAAAACAGTTTGTATTCATTTAACTGATAAGGGATTGAGAGTAGAGCTTACTTTAGATTTTCATAGGAGTATATTTGTAAGAGAAGATGGAACCATAGATGAGCAATAACCATATTAGATAATATGCTGACATTACAGGTGGAGAAGTTGGAGGGAGGATGTTGAAAATTCCATTCGCCACCCAAGCAAACATTGGAGCCTTCTCTTGCAGACGCAGAATCCAGGCACAGAAATGGAAAAATGAGGGGGGGAATGGGGACGACAAGGTGTAATTAGCAGAATCCAGGTACCGAAATGGAAAAACCAGGGGGAGGGAATGGGGAGGAGAAGGTATAATTAGCAGAATCCAGGCACAGAAATGAAAGACGAGGGGGAGAATTGGGAGGAGAAGGTGTAAGAAGACGTTTCCTTAGATTGCTGACGCTCCCAACAATGAGTTTGGCAGTGATCTAAGGAAACATCTTCCAGCTCTTCAAGATCAACTTTAAGCCGACAGCAAAAGTAGTGGCGGTGGGGGGGGGGCAACAGGCACATGTTTGTGTGTGTGGGTGTCCGTCCCTCTACAAGGACTTGGAGGAAGACACTGCCCCTCTGAGGAAAAGAGGAGGCAGCAAAGCCCTGGCTGTCACCTGGGAGAGGAGGACCGCGGACGGGGACACACACACACACACCCCATTGCCCCTGCTGCCACTACTTTTGCTGTCGGCTTCTCGGCGCTCTTAAAGTTAATCTTGAAGAGTTGGAAGATCGCTGACGCTCTGAACAATGAGTTTGGCAGCATGGAAGGCAGGCAAGCATGGCAGGGCTGCTAGGAAGGGAGTAAGCTGCTAGCTCTCCCTTCCCCACAGCCCTGTCATACTTGCCTGCCTTCCACGTGGCCTTCTGCTTGCCTGTCTTCACAAGCTGGCCACGGAAAGGCTACCTGGAAGGCAGGGAAGCATGGCAGGGCTGTGGGTCATGGTCCATTTTGGGGGTGTGACCAGCCAGCAATTGCTATCAGTATGGCAAACCAGCCCCAATCTCTCCTACTGGTCCTCCCGAACTGGTCCGAACCGGTAGCATTTCACACCTGGTTTGGGAATTTTTTTTAAAAAAA